TCCTCCACAAATATTGGGTGCGGCTATAATTTTGTTCCAGACTGGTTAACAACTTTCGTTTAACCCATGACGTTTAATCACAGTCGCTAGTTTTGAGATGACGATTTTTTTCACCAAACATCAAGAATGTACAGGTAACGATGGGATTTAACGCCCACTTGCCCTTCGATCTGGTTCAAATTGCTGTGTTCCTATTCGCTAATGCTCTTCGAACTACGAAGGACTTTCCAGCCAATCAACATTCTGAATTCATGTTTTTTTTCAATTGTTGGAAGGAAATTATATTGTATTACAGTGCATCGTGTTTTAAAACACGAATCAAGCTAACTTGAGTTCACTCAACAGAATGCACTTTAACTTTCGTAGTATATAGAAGCTGAAAACTCCAAGTATTGACCTTTTCCACAAGAGCATTTGTGTTAAAGTCCAGGTGCTCCGTCCAAAGATAACATTGGACTTCTGACAACAAGAACACCGATATACCGTGACTTTGGCCTGTTCCCTGTATGGATCTATGTCCCAGTGGAGCCAAAGCGTGGGATGGCGTAGTTGACAGCTTGGAGCAGACCCCGCGCAGCGTTTAGGACGAACACTTGGCTGATTGACGGAAAAAGTCAAAATGACAGCCAGGATCAATGAATTTCTCAAAACTGTCGCAATTTTCATCAATTTCTAGAATAGTCTAAGAACCCACGAAAATTTCAAACGAATTTCGAGAAAATTCCAAAAAGGCAAAAAAATAGTCGAAAAACCGAGGGGATTTCACCACAGAATTATCAAAAACCCTAATATATCTCGAAAATTCACGAAACCTCCAAAAATGCAGTAGTGGAAACAAAATTTCGAGAAAATCAAGAATATATTCACGTTTTATCAATTCTGAGCTGCTTTCACATTTGGAATTGCTTTGACGAAGCTGCGCCGGACGTTCTCCTCCATCACAAGATCCCATGCCTTGATAGAGCGATGGATCATGGCAAGGCGCTTCTGGCGAGACGACACTCCTTCGTTGCTGTCATCCCCGTTGCACTCGATTTCGTCCTCAAGCAGCCACAAGTCACGAAGGTGCCTCTTGAAGGGCGCCATTATGCCGACATCGAGCGGTTGCGACACAGCAGTGGTGTTTGGAGGTAAGGGGCTGATTTGACATCCGAATTCTTCGCTGACAATACAATAGCTCTCGTCGTTCACATGCGCTTCGAAGTTGTCGACAACAAGGACCGATGGCTCTTCCACGTCCTCGCCGAAGACCTCACGCAGGTAAATTGGCCAGAGATGACTGTCCATCCACCCCTTGTTTTGCACGGCGTAGACGTGGCCGTCCGGGAAGGTTGGAAAC